ATATATATATAAATTTTAACATACATTCTTAACAGATATAATAAAACATAATAAACAGATATAATACAAAGATAGAAATCCAACTATTATAAAGTATCTTTGATATAGGAAATAAAAGAAATATAAAAAATTTTTCAGTCTGGAAGGATCTTACTAACTAGTAATAACTTTTTGAGCTTGTAATTTAAATTCAATAAACTTTCTACACAAACTATTACTTTTTAACAAGTTTACAATATAGCTGGCTAAAGTCAGAACTATATACTATTCCTCATAATTCAATGTAATTAATTTAAGATAGAGTATAAATCCTCAAATAGAATGTATTTTATTACAAAAAATGTAAAATATAATTGTAATTTAATAATATAATTGTAATTTTTCTTAAATCTTTCTTTGAATCTAAATATCTTATTTTAAATATCTTAATACATAATATTTCACATAATCCTTACTTATATCTATTACTGTAGGCACATCTGATGGTAAAATACTTTTCTGAACTAATTGATCGGTAACTTTGTTAGATTTTCCAGTACATGATGGAGATTCTTGAGAATTTGCTTTTGTCGAAGTACATAATTCTTGAGAATTTGCTTTTGTCGAAGTACATAATTCTTGAGAATTTGATTTTTGTGGAGAAGATAATTCTTGGGAATCTGATTTTTTAACCATAGTTGGTTCTTTTAAAGTAATTTCATTTTGTTCATTCCTAATAGGTTCTTTAATAGTATCTTTTTCTTGCACTTTTGAAATGCCTTTAGCAACTTCTTGTGCTGATATATCAGTGTTAGATATATCTCCTTTCTGTTCTTGTTGTTTCGATATATCAATAGTGGTAGGTACACATTCCTCATCTTGCTTTTCTTGATGTGATACACAAATTCTGGAAACATCTTGATATTCCTCTTCTCCTATTTTAGCAAGATTTTTAGTAGATTCTTGTTTTATTACATCAATATTAAATATGTCTTCTTTTTTCTTCTCCTTATCAATTATATCAGCATCAGCAGAGTCTACTGAATCTTGCAGAAGCCTCTTTCGAATTGGCACAGCTGCAAAAGCTTTAATACGTGCACGACGCATTGTTTGTAGATATTATAAAGCCTATAAAAAAAGGCATCAATAAATTATAGAGAGATAAATTATATTTATCAATCATCTGAATTGATAAAATCAACAGACTATATATGCAAAATTATTAATATATTAAAATTAATATATTAAAATTGATCTATATAACAAAAATTTAGCAATCTTGAATTAATGAAAATTATATATCTGCTTATCATAAAATTATATATCTGCTTAAATTTTTTGAGTGTTATATGTATAATGTTTATCAATGTAAATTATAATTTGTCTTAGTTTTTATCTTCTTGATTTCAAAAATAAAAAAACATAAAAAGTGAATTAAACTAAGTTAAAATTGATCTACATTAGTAAAAGTGGATATCAGAACTCAAAAAAATATAAAAAATAAGTTTATTCGAGATTAAAGTTAATATATATTTGTAAAAATAAACGATCGTGCAAAAACAAATGAAGGTTACTGAGATAACAGGTCAATTCAATATTAACAGCTGTGAAGGTGTGATATCTCATGTTTCTGCCGCGTATTATCGTCGAAAATAATACCATCTTAGCATAAAATTACCTTAAAATGCAATCTCATAATTCGTAGTAACACGCAAGAGCCAAATCGAAAAATATGCGAGGCGTCACGTGTTTTCAGGTTAGCTCGCTGCGTTACTCACTGACAGTTACATCGATCGCATCTATTTCTATATCATCTTTTTCAATCTGTAAACACGTGTAAATTAATATATAATAATAATGAGTAAGGCCATAATGCGTTTTTCCGAGGGAAAAAACATCTCACATTATAATTCCCCACATTTGCGCGATTCTCTCTCTTCGGACAAGTTCGCTTATTTAGTCTTCTTTTTTGCTTCAACGTGGAGAAAAAAAGGAGAAAAGCTGGTGCAAAAAGTTCAACTAAAAAGAACAAATTTAATAGCCATGCTCAGTAGAATGTTTATTTTACAACTGTTGAAAAAATTCTATGCTCAGATTAGATTATATTTTTAAATTTAGAAGACTAATTTAATCTGAAAAAATGAAAATAAAAAAAAGAAAAGAATAAAAAAGAACCAACTGTTGTTAAAAATTTAATTAAATTGTTCTAAAATTTTCAAATTTAATGAAATTTTGAAATTCGTGTGTACATTATAAACACAATTTCTTACTTCTTTTTCTGAAAAATAAAGTCAATAAATAATTAACAGGAAATATTGAAGATAATACAAAAGATTAAATTAAGAAAGAGGAAAGGTATACTATATAATACAAGCATGAAAATTTCTTTGAATACTTTTTAATTTTGCAATTTTTAATCAGTTCTCAAATATTAGTACAAATGCATTAATATATAAATATAAAATATTACAGAATTCATTTTTATCTTACATTTCAAGTTTCAAGTTTCTGCAATATAAGCAAATGTTAAATAAGAGTTCATAATTTCATATTTATACAAAATTTTATTTCACTATTTTATTTTTATCATATTTAATAATAGATAGTATTTAATAATAGAACATCGTTTTTCTCCTAATGACTATCCATAAATTGTATGTCTGATAATAACAGCACTGTATTTGGCAATGGCCTAGGTTGTGGGCTAAGCACAGTAAATGTCTGCCTTTCAACATCCACATTAGTCCTATAAATATTAAACATATTTTTATGAGAACAGAAAGCTATATAATTTCTGTTATTGATACATAGATAATATAAATTAATGATAAAATATTCAGATTATCAAATATTATATTACAAATATACTAACACACAGACAAATCCAGCTACATTAGTTTGTACAACGTCATCCTCAGGAGAATCAGCAAAGGAAACAGATAGCAAGTGATGCAATAAACTAGGTCCTGGTGTAACAGCTACCAGTTTTGTCAGGTTGTCTTCTGCCTTCATGCCCAATGGCATACAAGATGCTGGTAAAACAGGTGCACCAATCTTGTACAATCTTGCCTCGCTCCACTTCACTTCGAAACTGTGTGGATACAATGGTGTTCTTGAACCATAGAAGTATTCTCTAACTCCCTGATCTCTCGCTTCAGTTCTTTGTGCTTGACTTCTTTCGACAACTCCACCACTCTTTGGCAAGAAGACCACCTTTACAAAGTCTGGCATATCTCTGACTAATTCATTATAAAGTCTCTCTTGATCCAACACCAAAATTGCATCTACTTCAAACGCTTGTGCAGCATGCGTAAGCAATTTATAGCCATCTCCTTTAACCCAACCACATGTATTTATAACGATTCCTGATGCTTTTGCCTTCTTGTTTGCTTGCAACCTATCCGAGCAAACCTCTGCTAAGCGTGTTACAAGTAAATTATACAATGTTACATTAGCCTGTGGTGTTTTGTGTCCAAAATGAAAGACCAGTGGAGCTTGCTGGCTGAAACCTTCTACTATATTAGATGGTCGTTCCACTAATAGAGCACCTACAGTCCCAGGAATTGCTATATGTCCTTGACCAACATCAAGATCAACAAAAATTGGTCTTCTACCCATTCTAACAGCATAGTTCAGTAGTATTCTACAAAGTGTAGACTTTCCTACATCGCAAGGACCTACAACCATTGTTATCGGACCTCTCGTATCATCTTTCTCTGCTGTCTCTCTCATCCGTTCCATTGCCGCATGGCAATTTAAATATAAACCCATAGGTGTTTCTTTTGCTACATAACTAACGTCTGTCTTTCCTACTAATTCAACAGTACAACCTTGCCAAGTATAAACCGCGACTTTTGCACCAGCGGTGAACTCATACTTTTTTCCTTTTACCAATTCTGTCCCAAAAACTTCCGCCAAGCCATTCTTTAACTGCAATAATAAAATTTGGCATTATCTAAGCAATAAAAGAATTAAATTACTTATAGAGAATCATGTTCCTTTACCTCTAATGCAACTTTTTCATTCTTGCTCTCCACTTCAAATCTTAATTCACAATCAGGATCCAACTTGAATTCTTGCACCACGGACTTTTCGTCGGCCATTTTTTGCAAATTTATTGCAAGGATAAAAATTAATAAAATTTATAAAAATTTACTAGTGTCGAAATATATTTCGAAATTTATTTGCATCTCGCAGTATTTATCAATTTATACAAAATTTTTATGAAATTTTAAATATCTGTAAATTCAAAGCGGTAAATAAGCAGAACAATAACATAACAATTATAACCTCCAACAAAGGATATTTATTAAGCACAAACTATAGTTTATAAGAAGTCCTCATCACACTCTACTATAAGTAGTGCTAAATAAACTTGAACGTGTTGATTGGTTACATAATAGTGAAGTTTTTAGATCTCCAAAAATTCTCTAGTTTCTAACCAATCAAAAATCTTGTTTTATATATATGCAGCATTGTGTGATTCGAAATATCGTGAACATTGATACACCCGTCAATGGCGGACGACGAAACGAAATACACAAAGTTGGCAGCCATGCATCGCCGACATTTTATGCGAAAATTGTTTTGTAACATGGTCAAGAGATATATAATTTTTACTCTAAAAATTAATTGTATGATGCCGGTTTGTGAATTATTTCAACGTTCAGTGCGATAGTTGCGATATATGTTCATTAGTTTCTGCAATTAAGTGCCGATCGAACTATTCCAACGATTGCCAAACGTTTCCCGCCTCAGGTAATCGTGTGTGATTGACAACGTAAATCGTACGACGTTTTCGTTAAGCAAGCGCTTGTGCGTAATTCACCTCCTTTGATTTTGTTCAAATCTTGACGAATTATGTCCAATAAAAATAAAAATAAAACAACAATTTTGACGAATGTGTACATTCTAATTATTTATAAATCTATTAATAACAAATTACAAATCTCTAAGCATGTCTCTAAGCAATCTGCGCAATTTGACGCTAATTCTACTAGCAACTTCGATTAAACTAAAAAATTTAATACTATTAGTATCAATTATATTATCGATAATTTCTTATCTCGATATCTAAAATAAGCTTATGTGTTAAATATATTTTTAGATTTGAAGGAAGTTAAATCACAATGGCTACAACCATAGTGCCCAAGCGTTCTTCTCGTCTGAAATTACATGAACCATCCACGAAAATTACATCCAAAAAGAAACCTCAGTCCAAGAAAGTCATCACTAATAAGGACTCACGAACAGGTAATATCAATACAAGAAGCAGAAGTTCACGCGTATCAATGGAAAATAAGTCTTTACAAAACAATCAAACATCAGTGAGATGTCTACGTCCTCGTCGAAACAACAAAAATTACTGCGAAGACTCTAAGTTATTGCAGCAATATATTTCACCAAAACAACAGGATAGTGTGGTAAAGTTGGAAAAAATAAATTTAAATGAGAAGAAAAAAGTACCCGTATACAAAGCTTTGAAATCTGAAAAATCCTTAGAAGACAATGATGTCTATGACTTTAAGTTCGACATTAATGATTCAAAAGAGAAAATTATTAAAAAAGGAAGGAAGAGAAATGTTACTCAAAGGAAAGGAAAAGTAATCAAGAAAACAATGCGTAAGAAAGTTACTGTACAATTAAAAACAATCGACCATGAGACACTCAAAGCTAAGCTCAATGCAAATCCTTCTGTTGAGATCGTGCAAAAGGAATCTTCCTTGGAGTCTATAGTAGCTATAGAATCAACAAAGGAAGATGTGAAGAAAGTTGAAACATCTAAAGCAGATGTGGATATTCAGACAACAGAGAAATCAGTAAACAAAGATGTTGAGATGGAAATTACAGCACCAATAATAGATACAGATATTCAGACAATACAAGAATCAACAAACAAAGATATAGAGAAAACAGAAATATCAAGACTAAATATAGATATTCCATCTATAGAAGAAATGACATTACTATTGCCTGATAGAACATTTGCAAAGCAAATTAATAAGGAAAATGTGAAGAAGCCAAGAATCATATCTATTGAAAATGCAGATAATATTATAATTACTAAATCTCCACCCAAGAATACTGAGAATTCACAGCTCTTTCGGCCGAAAAATATATTTGATAATAAAATCTCAGTAAAGGAATCCAATAGAACGTTAAAATATTCTTTACTCGCGAAAACTTTATCTCCTATCCCTAGCATGAAAACTAATACCTTGGATCTTGGAAGTCCTTGGCGAGTACCAACTTTAATGTTTTCTCGTACTAAACACTTTATCCAAAGTACGCCACATAAGAACTTTGAAGCAAACAAAGAAAATAAAGAAATAAATAGAAAAAGCATGGAAATGAATAGAGACAATACGGAAATGGATAAAGAAATAAATAGAAAAAGCATGGAGATGAATAAGGAAAATATGGAAATGAATAAAGAGAGTGCAAAAATGGATAAGAAAAATATAAAAATAGATAAGGAAAATATAAAAATAGATAAAGAAAATATAAAGAAGGGAAATAAAGGACGAAAAGAAAGAAAACAAAAAGCCCTTTTTTACAAGAAACATGCAACTCAAAAGAAATTATCGATGTTAGAAAATCAGGCTCCAGAGAAAATAGCAATTGCAAGCAAGTTAGATGTAAAACCAGCACCTGCCAGAATATCATTGGGAGAAATAAAAAATTTACTGGAACCAAACATCAATGAAGATAACAAATTGACGAATGATCAAGTATCTGCTGAAGTTGACAAATCATTTCTAGAACAAAAAAATAAACAATTTATAAATTATCTCAACTTTTCTGATACATTTGATTTGATGTCTGAAACTGAAAGACTATCGAATATTGGAGAGGATGCTCCCTTATTTATGGATTTAGAACCTTCACATTTTTCAAAGGTAGGTTATTAATATTATATTTTTATATGTTTTATGTATATGTAATATAGTGTGTGCGCGCGTGCATAAACCACAATATATGTTATACACATATGTATGTACATATATCATTTTGGTTTCTCTAATTAATTATATTTATGCCTTTATAGCCACCACGACATTCATACAAGAGGAAACGAATTGTAAAATTCGATTTTTCAGAAGATAGTGAAGAAGAAGAAAAAGAGAAAGAAAATGTTAAACCACGTACAAAAAAAAAGAAACCTACTAAATCAGAAAAAGAGCAGGAGAAACGAATAAACGAATGGATAAAAACAGTGAATACTACATTTCAAGAAATCGAAGAACATGATTTAATAATTGAATAATATAGAAAATGATTTATTACGGATCAATATTCTAAAAAAACCTGAAAAAGTTCAAAGCTATATTAATCGACGAGTGAACATTTTAAATTCCTTATGTTCATTTACTATTTATGGCAAAGATATTTCACTTCATATCTCTGCTTTCTATTCTTTGTACATTTTATACATATGATGTGTTGTTCATAAAATAGAAAATGATATTATAAAAATATGACGATTTAAATCTTAAGATTATCGATTTAAAAAAAGCAAATGTTATGTTTTTTCAAATCTTATTAAAATTTTATAAAAAAATATCTTTCAAAATTGCTAATATTTTTTAATATATGTATATTTTTTTATATTTACACGAAATATAAGGTAACTTTTATGTATAATAGAAATATTAACTAGTATGTATTATACGATGCAATCGTTAAATATAGGATAAAGAAATAATAATTAGTATAAATATTTAAAATATTACACTTTTACAGCTAAGATTAATAGTACGTTGTATATAATAAAATATTTTTAAACAAACATTTATTTTGTATTCTTAATTTTAATTCTATATTTCTAAACCGAATAGCTAATGTTAAACTAAAAGATTGTCATCTGTTGTTATAAAATAGAATATAAAATCAATGTTTCTAGAGTTGATAAAATCTTTTCAAAAAATACGATTTCTATCGTTAAATGAGGATTGTAGAAGAAATAAGATGAACTTAAGAGTAAGAAGAATAAAAAAAATATTGATTCCTTAATTGGAATTATCAATTCATCATTTTAACACATAAAACTATTAAATTTACATTATTTAATATGTAAAAAAAGATTAAGAATAAGGAATTTTTATATAAAAATAGCTTTGTCTTAAACACTTCTATCAGTTAAAATAATTGTTGATTACGTTAATCAGAATTTAATCAGCCGATAGAGCCTAATAAATTGATAGTAGCTTTACTTTTTAATTCAGAATTTTTCAATGAAAACAAAATTAGCTAAAATAAATTATTTTTCATTCAGAAAAAAGCAATAATGCCCTAGCAATAATGTCCTAATGATAAAACGTCTCAAATTTTGCTGTCTAATCTTTGCATTCTAATTTCTGAAATTCATCTTTTTTCTTTATCTAAGATATTTTACACTTTCTGAGCTATTTTTTTATTCAAAGTTTGAACGATTTCGCGTGCAAGGATTTTCGCGCAAATTTTATTATTTTCTGACTTAAGATTGCAATCATAAATTACCAATAAACTACAAACTAATTTTTACTTAAAATTCAATTCTGATGACTCATTCGTAAAAAGTTCTCTCTAGTATGCAATACGGAGAATAGAGAGTTTCAATTCTATTTCGCATGACAATCAAAGGAACTGGTGGACTCTCCGCTGATTTCTTGCGATCCTGATCTTGATATGGAGGAAGCATTTGAGATATACGAGATGTACTAGTACTTCTCATTAGACCCTTAAAAATTCGCAATTCTGCAACATTACGATCTTGCCAACCAAAATATTGTAACAGCTGCCACATGATCTTTCTTCTCACACACGAATAGAATGAAAAAGATAACACCTTGCAAGGCGTTTATCGTGTCAATAAGATCCCAGATGATCGATAATATGGGCCCAGCATCATACCACCATAATATCTCTAATATGGTGAAAATCCAGCTTACAATCCAATTTATTCTCATCACTATGAATAGCTTTAGATATAAAATAAATCTACGATCAAATATAATTTAGTATGACGAGTACGATCATCACTGAGGAAAAGATATATAATTAGGAAAATAAATTTTGTAAATATTCTTAATAACAGTAATAAACAAATTGAAGCAAACCAATCTTAACGGATAATAATATTACAATCAATCAATTAGGGCAACTGAGAATGCACCTTAAAAAGTGCACAATTATATTTTTGAGATTTATTAATATAAAAATTTTCCAAACGTTTCCAATTCAAGCTATCTTCAATATATAATGGAGTCAAATTGGAGCCGAAACATTTGATGAATTTTTATATCAATAAATCTCAAAAAGTATAATTACGCACTTCTTATTGTGCGAATTCTCATTGTTCTAATGTTTATTCTAATTGTTTAATTATTAATTGGGCCAGCGGCGCAATTTTTTTGAAACGTCAGATGTTCGCCAAAAGGACAACAGAGCTGAAGGACATCTGTTGTTTTCACATGCCTCATATGGAATGAGAGCGATAGTTATATTATTATTATAATCATCTGTGTTGGAATTTTCATAGAGGTCATAGGATGTGGAATTACTCTCGTTTTCAAACTTCATTAGACTTTCATCAATTTTTTGCAATGTAAAGACAATTTTATAATTGATTTCTGTAGAAACATAAGACTCCGTCTCATTATTCTCTTCGTAATTTTTCATAATACGTTTATGAGATGTATGCAATACAAAATCACTATTCTCACGATCATTCTTCGTAAAATTTCTATAAATCTCATAATGCATTTTATCATCTCAGTCCCTCGTAGAGTTTCCCAGATGATACCACGTCAAGGAATTATTGCTATGATCATCACCGTTTGTAAAATGTCCCCGAGACTTCATGGACGAAACAATAAGTAGAAATATGTAGCACCAAAATGCAACATTTGGTGGCTGCTTGTCGAATTATTGACAATCACAAAACAAACACTTATGTTTTTCTTCATAAGCGAACATCCAATACGACATGATCACTGACTGAAATGAGCATAATATCTTCATATTGCATTGGTTTTATAAGGAAAATCTATTTTTGAAACTATGTAAATACATGTTGATAAAATTAGACATGTCGATAAAAAGCAGATGTCTCGACAAGCAGGTTCTTTGTTTCATAATGATGATGTCAGCAATAAGAAAATTGTAATTGCTTAGACAATACGATTTCTTTAGGATGTCTTATATGTAGATTATAAGAGATTTATAAAAATGGTTAAGAATGAAGTAATTAACACACCAAAGATGACACAAGCCAAGGATGAAAACTTTATACAAAGTTCAAAGTTTAATTTTACCTTGAGACAAGCACATAAAAATATGGGTCTTGTTACATATAATATAACAACGTGATATTAAGATACGTCAAATATAATCCTTTAGACAGTACAAAATCCAAAATCGGAATATGACTTTTTAAAGACATCTTTGTGAAAGACATTAAAGACGATGTGACATTTTATATTTAAAATTAAATTGTCTGCTATGTATTGAAAATTTTTTACAATGTCGTTAAATGTACTATCGCTATCAGACGATGTATTTATGTAATATTATTATAAATTTCTTAAATTGGTGATATCAAAGAAACTCTCTTACGAAACAACATAAATTTAAATAAAAAATTAATACTATTATTTGTACAAAAAATATTTTGCATCGAGCAGCAATACAATTGAAGAAGATAATTTTCTTCTTCTAAATTACAAAACATCTTTCTTTTATTATTAATGATATTATTTTTAACATTTCTATTCTTTAAAACAATATCTTTTTCATATTGTGAAATAGAATCAAGATTGAAAAGTGCTAGAACAACAAATTTTGTTTTTACTTGATGATTAAAAATAAGAAGATTTAAAATATTCCTTGGAGGCAATGTTTGTTAACACAAGTTAAATCATAAATTTAATACTTGCCTTCATGCCATTTGTTATATCTTCCATGCATTTGTTCTGCATAAAGAAAATGTTGAATTGAGTAAAGCTGAATTTTCCGTAATAATTGTTGTTAAAAAATTAATTTTCTATATTATTGTTAAAAATATAGAATTTGATGACAAGGAATGACAAGACAAATCGATTGTATATGCAGTACTGCAATTCTTATTGTATGATTAATAATAAAATCTTCAGATAATAAAATGAATGTAAAGAAGAAAGATGAAATCCAAGATTATTCGGAAAACTTATATCTTGAAATTGTTGAGCAAGAATTACACGGAAAATTTGCAAATTGCGAGATAAGTTGATTGTAAGTCAAGATAAAATTAAAATATTGTTTTTTAATATTGCTTCTCTCATATTTCATGTAATTTTGTTGCATTTTAGCTATGGTAATTGCAACGTTTTATTTATTAAGTTCCGGCATGCAAATTGTCCTTCATGATTAGTTACGTCTCTTTGAATTACAATTATCCGGAAAATTTGCAAATTACAAGATAAATTAGTTATAACTAGACAAGTTAAAGTAAAGATTGTCATTCTTGTTAGTATTGCTATCGCATGTTATAAGATAATTTTCTTTCAATTATGATAATCGCAATTAATTTATAATTTATTAAGTATTTAAGTACTGTAATGTAAATTTTCCTGAAAGTTTTCCTAGCTATTCATTTTTCTTGTTATTTTATATTTACATTTATTATTTAAAGATTTGTATATAAATACTGTAATAATTGTGTACATTTTTCCATACAATTAGCAAAATGTTAGCAACCTGTCAACAAACTGCTAACAAATTTAGTCAAAAACTTTTAGCAAATTGATATTAACTGCATTAAACTCGTGTTTTGCAAAATTTACTGACAGAATTTATTAATAGAATAATAGATTATTTGCAAAAAATCAGCAGACTCAGATAATTTTATAAATTTTTAAACAGAATATACAATTTAAATGGTTATAAAAAATGGTTATAAAAAAGCATATTTTGTTTGATGTTTGCAATCAAACTTACATCATATTCCATTACATTCCGTTGCAGCAAATTTTGTTATATTTTACTGATAAAATTTGTGAACTATGAAAAACTTGTAACACTGTAAAATTTGTAAATGTTCTGTTGTAAATGTTAATTCTTGTAAATGTTACTGTTCACTTGATTGTCTAATTTTCTAAAACTTATATGTACATATAAAATATATATATTATAATAAATAAAAAACAATTGCTCAAAATGATAGAGAAAATAACTTAAAGAATTTAATATTATTATTTGATAAGACGAGCAAATATTATTTATTTACAAATAATACGGAATAAGTATAAAACTATAATTTTATAATTTATTAAAATTATCTTGTGTGTAAAAAAGCTAGATGTTTGTATTCGAATTATTGACATAAAATATAATTATGCATTTTGGGAGTAAAGTTTAGAAAAAAATCTCAGTTAACATGTCTTTTTTCCGACAAATTATTAAAACAATGAAACAATTGGAATCGAATAAATATGAAATATAAAATATAAAATATGAAATATGAAATATGAAATGTGAAATGTGAAATATGAAATGTGAAATATGAAATATAAAATATTAAAATCTGAATAAAATTCTGTTATTTTTAAAAAGTATTTTCATGATGGAGTTTAAATTAAGTATGATGTGATGAATGAGATAGTTAAACTAACACTGACTTCACGATTTACTCTTTCCGACGATGATCTAAACGATCGCGTACTATAGAATGTATTCAGATAAACAACGGAGCGACTACGGAACGAACCATCGAGTGTATTAAAAAGGTAGTGCACTTTGCTGCATTCTTATTTTTCTAATATAGCTATCGTCATGTTTCATTGCGCAATTACAACGTATGGTACTTTATTTGCTCAACGATATCTAACGATAGCGACTGTATATTTAAAGTCAATTAATAGATGTGCTAAGTAACTTCGCACACCTAGTGATTCAGGGAAAAGACAGGGAAAAGAAATTATCAATGAATTTGTAAAAATTATTGAAACATCAATTTAGTTCATACAATGTCTTATATATTATTGTACAAATATATTTTAACATAAATAATATTAAAATAACAATATGAAGCAACATACATATCCAATATGTTTCACTATGGTAACGCATAAAATCAGAAGTTATATAAGATTGGTTGTAAATAAGATACCTCACATTATGCTTTTTTAATCTATCTTACAGCAATAAGATGTCGATCTGTTCATCATTTTACAACTATAAATGATGAATGTAAGATAATAAAGAATAAAAAATTTGCAAACTTGTTTTATGTCGAGGTAGTGTTAGAAGTTATAGTATGCTATGTCTCGTACAAATATTTATTAAATCTAACACTATTTATTTGTATAATACTATGTAGAATGCAATTATTCATTCAATTAATCTTTGTTTAACTAATAATGATTTACAGAAATAAAATTTAAATCTTAAAATTACTGATTTAGAAAAAGCAAACGTTATGTTTTTTTACAAAGCTTATTAAAATTTTAGAAAAATATCTTTAAAAATTGCTAATATTTTATATGCATATTTTTTATATTTATATGAAATATAAAATAACTTTTATTTCTGTATAATAAAAATATTAACTAGTATGTATTATATATGATGCAATTGTTAAGTATAAAGAAAAAAATAAAATAAATAATAAAATAATAAATAATAATAAAAAAATAATAATTAGTATAGATATTTAAAATACCATACAAAGTTTATTAAAATTTAGCATGTCATATGATATGATATTTTTAAATATATATTTATTTTGTATTCTTAATTTCTAAATCGAATAGTTAATATTTTATAATAAATATTATAAATTTAAAGATTTTTATCTGCTATGATAAAATATAAAATCAATATTTATAATAATAATAAGATTTTTTCAAAAAGTACGATTACGATTTCTATCATTAAATAAAAATTGTAAGAAAAATAAGATGATAATACTGAACTTAAGAAAAATGAAAAAATGTCAAGTTATTAATTTAATTGAAATTTTCAATTCATTGTTTTAACGCATACAACTATTAAATTTACCTTATTTAATATGTAAAAAAACATTAAAAATAAGGAATTTTTATATAAAAACAATTTTGTCTTAAACAACTTTATCGGTTAAAATAATCATTGATTACGCTAATCGGAATTTAATCACAGCCAGTCTAGCAAATTGATAATAGCTTTACTTTTTAACTTAGAATTCTTCCACGAATACAGAATTGGTCAAAGTTATCACGTTTCATTCAAAAAAGCATTCAAATAGCAATAACATGGCATACCTAATCCAATTTCGTTAATCTAGTCTTCGCGTTCTAATCTTTGAAATTTATTTTCTTGTTCTGTAAAATATTTTACACTTTTTGAGCACTTTCTTATTCTAAATTTTGAACAATTTCGTGTGCAAAAATTTTCACGCAAATTTTATTTTTATTATTCTTTGACTTATGCATTCATAAGTTACAATCAAGTCACAAACTAACTTTTTAATAAAAATTCAATTCTGATGGTGCATTCGTAAAAAATTCATCTTTTGCAAAGAAGAGAGAGAAGAATAGAGGAGAATAGAGTTTTAATTCAATTTTGCATGATAATCAAAGGAACTGATGGTATCTCGCGATCCTGATCTTGATGTAAGGGAAGTATTATTTGAGATTTGCGAGACTGTACTAGTACTCCTTGAAATTACACTCTTGAAAAATGGTAATTCTGTAACATTGCGTTCTTGCCAACCAAAATATTGTAGTAGCTGTCGCATGATCTTTCTTCTACACACAAATAAACGAAAATGATAAGGCCTTGCAAGGCGTTTATTGTGTCAATAGGATACCAGATGATCGCTAATATGGGCCCAACATCATACCACCATAATATCTCTAATATGGCAAAAATCCAACTTACAATCCAATTTATTCCCATCACTATGAACAGCTTCAGATATGTTCTGAATCTACGATTAAATATAATTTGTGATTATGATCATTAGTAAGAAAAAGATATATAATATCTTTTAGGAAAATAAATATTTATGAGGTAGATATTTTTAATAACAGTACATTTTTAATAAGCAAATTGAAGCAAATCTTGACTAATCTTGACGAACAATAATACTACAATTAATCAATAAGGGCAATTGAGAATCCGCACGATAAGAAATGCGCGATTTAAAATTTATATTTTATGAGATTTATTAATATAAAAATGTACCAAACGTTTCTGCTCCAATTCAAACTATGTTCAATGATATATATATAATAGCTCGAATTAAAGCCGAAACATTTGATAAACATTTGATAAATTTTTGATTAATAAATCTCAAAAAGTATAATTGCGCACTTCTTACTGCATGAATTTTCAGAGGCTCTAATTGTTTAATTGTCAAATTATATGGAAAATCTTTCAAAATTGCTACATTTATATCGAGATTTTTTAAATTATTTATTAACAAATAATATTTTTTAGATGCGGATGAATGTAGAATATTTTTGTAGATGATATTAATTGTTTGATTGTACAGACCTCTGCATGTTTTCATCGTAGTACTTTTTCGCTGAATCTCTTAGTTGATGGTCTGTATTTTTATTCTGATAAACAATTATTACTATCGTGGCGATGAAAAAACAAATGTTGCTGATAACGGAAATAGCCGTGGGTACGAAAAAATACAATACCTTTGCCAGATCCCCTGAAACGGAAAAAACAAATCAATCGCATTGTATGCTAATATACATAAATGAATCTATAATTTTAATCTGAAATTTCTTTGAAATATTTAATATCAAGATTCCAGTAAAATTCTATTATCGCTAATAGAGATTTCTATACTACTTACGATTATACCAAAATTTGCTCTCGCACATTTTCGGTTTGATCGCTTTGTGATCTGGTATACCAGGAACATAATCCATGAAGGCACAGAGACCAGTGAGAAACAAAGAAATTCCCCACGCAGAAATCGAATATAATATGAACTTTTTTTTCTCTTTGTGCTTTAAGTTTTGTTGACGTGAACGGAGTTTTCTATAAAATGCAATTTATGTAATTTATATTTAACCAATAATAAATTACCGTCTAGTATGTATATTTGACAACAAAAAAATACCTTTGAAATTAACATCTTGCAAATAATTATGCTTGCGTAGACTTTTACTACATACATATAAAATACATACAAGTTACACATATAATATACATTTAAAATAGAATGGCTTCTTTACACAAACAAATTTTTCTATCTTGAAGCACAGAGACTTTTTTTTATAAAATTTTCTATCTGATTAATTTTATTATTTGATTATACTTGTTCTACATTAATTTTATTATTTGATTATACTTGTTAAAAGATAAAATAATAAAATAAAAGTTTTAAAATTTTTTACAATAGAACTGAATAAGATACGTATACATAAAGTACAGTCTGAAATATTTGGCTTACCTAAATGTCCACCAGATATCGAAGCATGTCATGGTTAGCCAAAAGAAACTTGCCAAAAAAAAGAAATTGAAAGTGTAAGCTGTAATAATTAAAGATAATGACTAAAGGAATTACTTATTATTCTATTGCAAATTTTTAATTATAAAAATAAATTTAACAAATGACACACCAATAGAACTAAATAACATTTTCATTTCAATATGACTTTCGCTACATTTTACATCAAAAGTTATATATATAAAAAAACATTAAATATATTTTTAAAAAATATTTGATATTTAGTTACTAAAGTAGAAGTTTTAATAATTTCCATATTGTTCAGTTATTAGAAAAAAAAAGCGCAGATATATATAGACTACTATCTAAGGTATATCTACGCTAGATATGATTATTATAATAAATATTATTATAATAAGTATTGATATACACATACCCAGAGGAATGCAAATCTTTGATAAATGCAAATCTCTCACTTCATGGAAAAAATACAGAATTACGTATGTGACAAATAACGAAGCGATATGTCCACGTAATGTATGGCCGTGCATATTTTGGAGTTCCGGTAATATGGAATATACTATGAATGTTAGTAACAAAAATGGTACGGATATTAGGAGACAAATGTTTATAAATAGCGGAACTTTAATCAGTTTCTTACAAACGAACACATCATAAATATTCCGTTTCATAATAGCAAGACAATAGGATGTCGATGGAATTATCTGATTAGGAGTTTGATACAAAGAGCCATCGTTGAGAAATGAATATTCATTCGGCTCAAGGATACGAAGTTCATATCCTTCTGCAATACATGGATCATGGACGGTCATTTGAAATAGTTGATCCAATTTCTTATCCTCGGACTCATTCTTGTTTTCGTAGAGGTTTGGAAAAGAATAATTATTCTGTCCAACGGCGCAATTTTTTTGATACGTCAGATGTTCGCCAAAAGGACAACAGAGCTGAAGACAACTGTTGTTTTCACATGCCTCATATGGAATGAGGGCGATAATTATATTATTATTATAATCATCTGTGTTGGAATTTTCATAGAGGTCATAGGATGTAGTATTGCTCTTGTTTTCAAACTTCATTAGACTTTTATCAATTTTTTGCAACGTAAAGACTCTTTTATCATTAATTTCTGTAGAAACATAAGACTCCGTTTCGTTAGTCTCTTCATGATTTTTCATAATACGTTCATGAGATGTATGCAATACAAAATCACTATCCTCACGATCATTCTTCGTAAAATTTCTATGAATCTCATAGAGCATCTTATCATCTCGGTCCCTCGTAGAGTTCCCCAGATGATACCTCGAGAAATTGTTGCTATCATCACCGTTTGTAGAATGTCCCCGAGACTTCATGGACGAAACAATAAGTAGAAACATGTAGCACCAAAATGCAACATTTGATGGTTGCATTGTCGAATTATTGACAATCACAAAATAAAAATTTAGGTTTTTCTTTATAAGCGAACATCCACGCGAACATCCAACACGATATGATCACTCACTGAAATGAGCATAATATCTTCATTTTGCACTAGTTTTACAAGGAAAATCTATTTTTGAAATAAGCATGCAAATGCTGTTATAAAGGCTAAAGATATTGATAAAAAGCAAATACATCGACAAAGCAGGTTTTTAATAGATGATGACAGACAGTAAGAAGATTTTAATTATTTACATGATACGATTTCTTTAGGATATCTTACATGGAGAATATAAGAGATTTATAAAAGTGATTAAGAATGAAGTGATTAACGCACCAAAGATGACACAAGCAAAGGATGAAAACTTTATACATTCAAAGATTAATTTTACTTTTAGGTAAGCATAAAAACGCGGATCTTGTTACATATAATATGACAACGTGATATTAAGACGTCACATCAAATTCTCCAGACAGCACAAAGTTCAAAATCGAGATATGCTTTTTTAAAGATATTTTTGTGAAAGACATTTAAAAGATGCTTTGAAGATATTTTATATTTCAATTTTAGAATTAAATTGTCTGCTATGTATCGAAAACTTTTTTGTCATTAAATGCGTTATCGCTATCAGATAATGTATTTACGTAACGCATATTACTATAAATTTTTTAAATTTTGGATACCAAAGAAATTCTCTTACGAAATAACATAAACATGAATAAAAAATTAACACTCTTATTATTTGTGCAAAAAGTATTTTGTCTATGAAGCAACATTGACAATACAATCGAAGAAGATAATTTTTTTCTTCTAAATTACAAAGGATCCTTTTTTTATTCTTAATGATATTATTTTTTAACATTTCTATGTTCTTTAAAATAATATTTTTTTCGTATTGTGGAATAGAGTGAAGAATGAAAAATGCTGGAATTTAAGAAGAAATTTAATTGATCGTGAGGTGTTAAAAATAAAGAGATTTAAAATGTTCTTTGGAGATAATGTTTGTTAATACAAGACAAATCATAAATCACTTGCCTTCATGCCATTTGTTATATTCTCCATGCATTTATTCTGGATAAAGAAAACGTTGAAATGATAATATCCATAATATTTGTATGCCTTTCATTCATTCGTTCTGGATAAAGAAAATATTGAAATGAATAAAGCGAAATGAATAAATGCTGAATTTTCCACAATTCTTATTGTAAGATTATAAGATTTTTATTGTAAGATAATAAAATCTTCAGATAATAAAATGAATGTAAAATAACGAAAGAAAGAAATATCCAAGATTATCCGGAAAACTTACATCTTGGAATTGTTGAGCAAGAATTACACGGAAAATTTACAAATTGCGAGATAAGTTGATTGTAAATCAAGATAAAATTAAAATATTGTTTTTTAATATTGCTTCTCTCATATTTCATATAATTTTTTTGCATTTCAGCTATGATAATTGCAACGTATCATTTATTTCCGGCATGTAAATTTCCCTTTGTGATTATCTTGATTAGTCACGTCTCTTTGAGTCACAATTACACGGAAAATTTGCAAATTACAATATAAATTAGTAATGAGATAAGTTAATGTAAAGATTAAATTGTCATTCTTGTTAGTATTATTGCTATCGTATATTATAAGATCGTTGTATTTCAATTATGATAGTCGCAATTAATATATAATTTATTAAGTGCTTAAGTTCTGTAAATTTTCCGGATAATTTTCCTAGCTATTTATTTTTCTTGTTATTTTATATTTACATCTGTTATTCGAAGATTTAAATATAAAATACTGAATGAATTATGTACATCTTTCCATATAATTAGCAAAATCTTAGCAACCTATCAACAAACTGCTAACAAATTTGGTCAAACTTTTAGCAAATTAATATTAACTGCATTAAACTCGTTTTGTAAATTTACTGACAGAATTTATTGGTAGAACAACAGATTATTTGCAAAAATCGAGCAGAATCAAATAATTTTATAAACTTTTAAATAGAATATACAATTTAAATGCTTATAAAAAAGCATATTTTGCTTAGTGTTTGCAATCAAACTTACATCATATTTTGCCATTACATTCCGTTAATAAATTTTGTTATATTTTACTAACAAAATTAGAAAACACCAAGAACTTGTAACACTTTAAAATTTGTTCTCGCAAATGTAACTATTCACATATTTGATTATCTAATTTTCTAAAATTTATATACATATAAAATATATACAAAATATATATATATAAATTTATATATATATATATATAAATATATATACTATAGTAAATAAAATACAATTGCTCTAAAACTTGATAGAGGAAATAATTAAATAATCTAATATTGATATTTGATAAGACGATCGAATATTATTTATTTACAATATAATACGGAATAAGTATAAAATTATAATTTTATAATTTACTAAAATTATATTGTGTGTAAAAAAGCTAGATATTAGTATCGAGTTATTCACATAAAATATAATTATGCACTTCAGGTGTAAAAGTTAGAGAAAAATCTTAGCAAATACGCCTTTTTTTCGACAAATTATTAAACAATGAAACAATTTGAATCCAATATAAAATATGAAAATCTGAATAAAATTCTGTTGTTTTTGAAAAGTATTTTCATGATTGAGTTTAAATTAAGTATGGTGATGAATGGAATAGTTAAACTAACTGTATTTAACTTCGCGATTTACTTTCCGATAAATGATCGCGCACTATAGAAATGTATTCAGGTAAGCATCGGAATAACTACTGAATGACGAGCCATCGACTGTATTAAAAAAGCAGTGCACTTTGCTGCATTCCTATTTTCCCAACTAATATAGCTATCATCATGTGTCATTGCGCAGTTACAACAGTATGGTACTTTATTTGCGCAACGACACCTAACGATAGTCTGTGTATTCAAGAATCAATGAATAGATGTGCTAAGTAACTTTAGCACACTTAGTGATTCAGGGAAAAGAAATTACCAATAAATTTGTAAAAATTATTGAAACATCAATTTAGTTTATACAATGTTTTATATATTATTTTAAAAATATATTTTAACATGAATAATATTAAAATAATAATATATAAAGCAACATAAATATCCAACATTCCAGTATGTTCCACTATGGTAATGCATAAAGTCAGAAGTTATATAAGATTGATTGTGAATGAGATATCTGTTATGTTGCTTTTTTAATCTATCTTACAGCAATAAGATGTCGCTTTGTTCAGTATTTTATAGCTGTAAATGCAGTATGTAAGATAATAAAGAAATAAAAAATAAAAATGCGAATTTGTTTTATGTCAAGATAGTGTTGGAAGTTATAGTATCTTATTATGTCGTGCATGAATTATTAGATTTAATACTATATATACTATTTATTTATTATAATACTATATGAAATACATTATATCTAGTCAATTAATTTTTGTCTACTTTTAGTTAATTTTAAAAATTTGCTTATTAAGCAATAACATATTACCATTATATCTAGCTTTTAATAGCTTTTTAATAAAAATAACTTTTATATGTTCTTAATAATAATAATTTTAATATTACGTGAAAGATTCTTTTGTATTTTACAATACAAAATGATTACTTAGATGTAGCGAAATTTTCATTGCCAATCTTGATGTAAAGAGATAGTATTCAAAATTACATTATTGTTTCTCATTGGAATCTCGCGAAATCGTAATTTTGCAAAATCGCAGTTCTGTCAACCTTTCTAAGAGTTGCCGCATGATTTCTTTTTTACAGATAAATATGATAAAAATAAAGAAGCCCAGCAAAGAGTTTATTGTACCGAAGAAATGCCAGAATATTATTACCATGTCGGCATTAAGTCTTATTGATATTCTCGTTATGTAAAAAATCGCACTTATAATCAAATTTATTCCCATTACTAGGTACAACTTCACGAATAAATGAAACCTGTGAATAAATATACTTCTATATTATCAAATTAAGATTGTTACTGAAGACACATACAGTGTCTTCTGGAGTAAAAAAGATATATTTATAAAAACAAATATATAATGATTATTTTTAAATATTTATAATAATAAATAATTCGGAAAAAATTAATTGAAAAAATATATATCATATAATAAGCCTAATTTTAATCATCTTATTGAAAATAAAAATCAATTGACATTACAAACAATTTCTCAGCAGTTATTATTTCTTTCATTGGAATAAAGGTAAACTATAATGGAATGAAGGTAAACTACTACATCAATATTATGTGTGATTTTCCACTTAAGATAATTATATAACACATGATGTATGTATATAACATTGTTGAATAAGAAATTATAATATTGATGTAATGTTATTTTTGATTGGTTTTACTGGATAATTCTTCCGACTGTACAGACCTCTCCATGGTTTTAAAGTAGCACCTATTCTCCATATTTTTCAGTTGATGAATCGTATATCTTGTCTTATACGTAATTACCAGTATTGTAATGAAAAAATAAATGTTGATAATAACAGAAATACTGGTTGGGTACGATAAAATACAATAACTTTGTCTTTTCCCCTAAAACAAATAACGAATTATTTATAATGTGCTAAGTATTTGTAATTTTAATTAAAAATATCAATATAATATTAATTAAAAATATAAACTAAAAATATAAATTGTGAATTAAATCAGGATTAAAATGTTATTCTAACATTAATAAAGAAGATTTATTTATACTTACAACCAAACCAAAATCTTCTTTTGCACATTTCCGATCGGATCAAGTCTTTTGATATACTGGGAACATAATCCATAATGGCACAGATACCAGTAATCATAAATGCGATAGCCCAGACATAAATCAAATATATTATGAATTTCTTTTTCTTTCGATATTAATATAATATGATATATTTTGTCGCTTACCTAAATGTCCGTCAAATATCAAAACATATAAAGTTTAGCCAAAAGAAGAATGATAAAAGAAAGAAGTTGTAATAAATGTAAGCTGAAAAAATAAAAAATAATGTATTAATTGTCAAGCATATCGATAAGATTTATTACTCAGTGTTATATATAAATTTATAATAAGAAAAATAATTTCACAGCACAACAATATCAAATTAATATTTGTGCTTTACATAATTTTTATAATTTCTATAATTTTTTTAGATTAGAAAAATATCTATAAAAATGGAAATTATACATACACAAGAGGTACATATTTAAA